AAGTGCCTTTACTTTTCTGAACTTCAGTTTCCACCTCTGGAATACAGAAGTATGAATACAGAAGTAAGCCAACTACCTTAGTTGGCTAGGGATGTTTAGGTCAGGCTTTGAGCATTGTAGGTGCCAGTATGGAGTGGGGGGATCTTGATGACAATTGACACTGACACTTTCTAACCTCCCTTGCAGTACGCCACCTCATATGAAATGAGACAGTTCAATGGAACCCAGGTGAAGGTGAGAGCAGGGGCACCCCGCCCCTTGGCCCATTGTTGCAGTTTTCCCATTTTGTTCCCACTCCAGTCTCTGTCTACCCCCTGAGTCATTTAACATCTGTTGTACAATCTGTTTTAAACTCTGTGCAGCCCGTCCCCAATTTCTGTCTTTTCTGCCTTTCTGGAATCTCCATTTTGCCCCCCCTTCTCCCTTCCCAGTGCCCTGCTTTGGTCCAGGCTACTTTTTTCCCCCCACCCCATCTTGCCCTGGCCTCTCTGGTCTGCCCCTAGGCCCGCCCCCTCCCACCCACCTTCAGCTCAGCAGCCAGAGTGGTCTTTCCAAAGCACAAACTTGACCCTGCCTCTCCCCTGCCCTACTGCTCTTGGAAGAAAGCCCAGGCTCCTTGCCACAGTCCACAAGACACTGCAAGGTCAGACCCCTGCCCAGCTGCTCTCCCAAGTCTCTTCTTGTGACTCTGCCCAGTTCATTCCACTCCAGCCACAGTGGATTTCTTCCTGCTCGTTGAATGCTCAAGTTGCTCTCTTCTAGGCTGTTGCACATTGTTTCCTCTCTTTAAAACCTTCTACCACCCCTCTTTACCTGGTTCACCCTTCCTGTTCTCCAGGTCTTAGCCCCTTCCTCCAGGAAGCCCTACCTAATTATCCCACCTCCTGAGCTGGCACCTCCCCCTGCCCCCTCCCCATTCCCACACTCCCCTGGGTTTTCCCATTCCAGTCCTGCCTACTCTGGGTGGTTCCTAGCAACAGGTCTATTTCCCCTGGACCTAGACTATGAGCCTTGGGAGAAAGGGACCCAAGAAGCTGGGTGCCCCCAGCACCCAGGACAGCCCTTGGTGACTGTGCAGGTTGATTGGAGGGACCGCCTCCCAACCCCATCTGTTTCTTGCCAAAAGGTACCTGTGGGGGATGAGGTGGAGGGTATGAACATCCTGGGCCTGGTGGTGTTTGCTATCGTTTTTGGTGTGGCCCTGCGGAAGCTGGGACCTGAGGGAGAGCTGCTCATCCGCTTTTTCAACGCTTTCAACGATGCCACCATGGTGCTGGTCTCCTGGATCATGTGGTAGGTGGTGGGAGAGGAAGTTGGGGGTGTGGAATAGGGTGACCCTCCATCCACTCCTTGGAGCCAGAGGGCCTGGATTCAAATCCAGCATGGACCATGCCCAGGTCATGTGACTTTGGGCAGGTGACTTACCCTCTCTGTGCCTCAAATTCCTCCTCTATAAAATGAGGACAGTGCTGTATTCCATGAAAGCTAAGACTGACACTGGCACCTCCTTGATTTACTGGAAGGTGACAAAAAGACAAGTTGTGGCCACAGCCTGGCTAACACATCTCAATTTTAGAGATTTAAAGGTAATCAAATGTCCCTCTTTGGAGCAATGATCTAAAATGGCGCCTGCTTTATAGGGTTATCACGAAGATGGAATAAGTGACTAGGTATAGGTAAAGAAAGTTCTTAGAAAGTGTTTTATTTATTTATTTATTTATTTATTTTTAATTAATTAATTTTTAAGATTTTTACTGGAGAGTTGGGGGAACAGACAAGTTGCTGTCTTTTTGTCCTTCAGTCTAGTTGTGGAGGACGTTGCTTCACTGGCCCAAGTTGGCACCATCATTGCGCTCTTCCCCGCGCAAAGGCAGATTAGTCGCCGACTTCTGGACGGCTGCTCACGCTGGCTGCTGGCCGTTCACGCTGGCTGCTGGCTACACAACGGTAGCCCATGGCAACCCACTGCAGCAGGGGCTGCAGCCTACACTGTTGCCAGCGACTCACGGCAACCCAGCTCCAGGTTGAGCTGTTGTTTAGCATCTTAGTTGTAGAGGGCAGTGTCACTGGCCCTCATATGTGGGATCTGAACCGGGGCCCTCTGGCGTCCCAAGCCAGTTCTTAACCAACGTGCCACTCGGCTGGCCCTAGAAAATGTTTTAAGTGCTTGGTACCTACTGAGTATTCACTTAATATCAGCTACAACTATTACCATGATGAGCTTTGTTAAAAGGCCTTAAATAACAAGAAAAACATGTGCAAAGGACTCTGGTTTCCACCCTTGTCCCTTCCCCCATCTCATCTCCACGTGGTCTCACACTGATTCTCAGGACCCACCCTGGATCTAGAAGGTCAGAAAACAGGAGAGAGGGACAGGGTTGCTACATTTTTAACAAATCCTATATACCCACCCCTGTTTCCAGCACAGCCGGCATCTAAGAAGCTGCTGTGCAGGAATCAAGTGCACCTTGACTAGTAAAAAACACTGCCGCAGAGGCGGGGTGCTGTGGGTAAGAGCAGACTCTGTATCCACAAGGCCTGGGTTCCCAACCTTGTGCGGCCACTTCCCAGCCATGCACCCTAATGACACGTTACTTATCCCTCTGTGCCTTAGTTTCCCCATCTGGAAAATGGGGTTGGTCGTATCAGGCACAAATGAGTTAATACTTGTGAAGTGCCTGGGACAGTGCCTGACCTATACTAGACCTACAGTAAACAATATTAGCTAATATTTATCTAGTGCTTTATTTGTATAACTTCTTGGCACATCCCACTGGCCAGAACATGGGCATTTGGCCAAACCCAAGTACAGAGGTGGCTGGGAAATGGTGCCTTTTTTTCTGTTACTAAAAGACGACAGGAGTTTGGGTCATAGTAATCAAGCAATCAAGGAAGGCATAAAAGTACCCCAAAATCTTTACTCCAGGAGAGGGTGCTAAAGTTTACAGATGAATTATTAAAAAATTTTCAGCCTGCTCTTTTTGACTGCTTCTTCCCTTTTTTGAGCCTTTTGAGCCTCGTCTTTGCGCGTGACCTGTTCCAAACTCTGGAATGTAATTTCTCTTCTAATGGGCCCTTGAGCCATTCTCTACTGCTTGGGCCTAATTCTACTTTTTTGAAATGTACTATCTCTTCAAATAAACTACTTTTTCAGTACTTTAAAATAATAATAATAATAATAATAATAATAATAATAATAATAATAAAAACGCTTTCAACTCATTTCAAATGGCATCTCATTTAATCCTCCCAACATTTCTGTGAAGTTGGGAGTATTATCATCCCTGCTTTACAAACCTATTAATTAGATTTTGTTAGTTCAGTGGTAGCTGTAAAAGACTCAATAAGAGTTCCCTTAGGGTGGAGATTCTATCATGTTCAAGGGCTCAGCACATCAGAATGCTTCATACCTGGGAGTGGTTATTAAGACCTGAACCATGGCCTGAGAGACTGTCTTGGTTTTAGTTACAAATGAATCCAGAAAATGAAAATGACTCATGCATGGTGGATGTTTCTTTCTCAGTCATGTGTTAAGTCCAAATCTGGTTGGTGACTCTACTCCAAGTGGCGATGGAAGCACCCAGGCTTCTTTTATCTCCCAGCTGCACTATCTTCAAGGGGAGAGCGCATAGTCAAGAAGGCAGAGGAGGTGCCTGAACTTCCGCACACATTGCTATGGGTGTCTCTTGGCTATGAGGGAGGCTGTAGTCAAGCTATGAAGCGCATGTGCCTGGCCCTGGGTGGGCAGGTGGTCACTGGCTGCCATCTGTCTCCTGGGTTATTAGGTATGCACCCGTGGGCATCTTGTTCCTGGTGGCCGGCAAGATCGTGGAGATGGAGAATGTGGAGATGCTCTTTGCCAGTCTCGGCAAATACATTCTGTGCTGCCTGTTGGGCCACGCCATCCATGGGCTCCTGGTCCTACCCCTCATCTACTTCCTCTTCACCCGGAAGAACCCCTTCCGCTTCCTGTGGGGCATCACGACAGCGCTGGCCACCGCCTTCGGGACCTCCTCCAGGTGCGGCCTTGGGGCAGACCAGGGTGGGAGTTTTAAACTAAGGGGTTTGGAGCGGGCATCAGATGTCTGAAGACCTCTGAACGTTTGTGTTTGGGAACATTGGATCTAGGTACAGGGACCATACTTTCCTGGATCTCCCCTTCTCCTAAAATTAGGAAACTACTGCCTTAGACACTTCTTCCTTTCTTCCTGAGAGCCCCTCCTCCCCGCCAAGGCCCGGACCTTGGGGACTCTAGTGCTCCACCCTAGATCAGCCTCTCAGAGCTCTTTCCACCGTATCTCCTGGGTATTTTGTTCGTCTTTGCTGGCCCTGTCCCCTCAGAACTGGACCTTCCCCGCAGCGGCACCCCCAAGAGAGTAGTAATTCTTAGCGGAGGTCTATAATCGGTGAAGATGAAAGGAGGTGTAAGGTCAGTGAGCTCCCAGACATTATAGAATTTAGGTATAAATTTTTGTGTGTATTGTGAGGAGTAGCAGGGGATCCAGGACTCCAATATTTTGGAATCCTTGCATTCTGGGGGATCCCTAGTGACTTCTGGCTCTGGGAAGAGAAGGGAATGGAGAGCTAGAAGGCCTGTGAGTGGAGGCTTTGGAATAGGTGGTGGTGTCTAGGCTGGTGGGCGGAGCCTGGGTCTGAGAAGAAGGGCTCTGTGGGCGTGGTCTACGGTTGTAGCATGGACGTGGCTTGGGCGGTAGGAATGGCCAGGCCTTGGGTTGGCCATGTGAGCTCAGATTTGTGGTTTCTCACAGCTCTGCCACTTTACCGTTGATGATGAAGTGCGTGGAGGAGAGGAATGGTGTCTCCAAGCAAATCAGCCGCTTCATCCTGCCCATTGGAGCCACTGTCAACATGGATGGTGCCGCACTCTTCCAGTGTGTGGCCGCAGTGTTCATCGCACAGCTCAACCAGCGACCCTTGGACTTCGTGAAGATCATCACCATCCTGTGAGTGCGGGGTGGCTGCGGCTAGGACCCTACCCCCCTACCCACTCACCTGACCCCCCTACCCACTCACCTGACACCTCCCCTAAGAATGGACACAGGCCAGGGGGGAGCATGCCTCCTGTGGCAGCTTCTCCCACTATGAGGCCCCTCCCTGACCTTCCCCCTCTCCTCTCCCAGGGTAACCGCCACAGCATCCAGTGTCGGCGCTGCGGGCATCCCCGCTGGAGGTGTCCTCACACTGGCTATCATCCTCGAGGCAGTCAGCCTGCCGGTTCAGGACATCTCCTTGATCCTGGCTGTGGACTGGCTTGTGTGAGTGTGGGTTTGGGGCTTCAGGGGGATTCAGGAGTACCCCTGGGGAAGGGGATGAGCAAGAGGGCAGGAGAGGAGAGGAAGGAAGAAGTTCTAGAGGAAAGGGGGTGGGACCTTGAGACTTCCAGTCAGAAGGGAGGAAGGGGTTTTTGGGCTTCTAAGAAGAATCCCAGAAAGGTCGTGTGCCTGAGTGGTTAATACAATGGACTCTTAGGCCAGGCTACTTGTGTTCAAATCCCAGTGCCACCATTGCTAGCTGTTATGACCTTGGGCAAGTACTTAATCTCCCTGTATCTTGGTTTTTTCATCTGTAAAATGGAGAGAATAGCCTCTCCTTGAGATTAGATGGCTTAACACGTGAAACTCCCTTATAAAAGTCCCTAGTAAGTAGTAAATGCTACATACATAATTATTAGCTATCATAATGAAGCTATTAAGAGCATAAACGATTGGAAAACAGTTTGGTTTTCAAAGTTATAGAATTACCATGTGTTTTAGCAATACCACTCCTAGGTATACACGCAAGAGAATTGAATACATGTCCACGAAAACTTATACACAAATGTTGATAGTATATTATTCTATTATTATTCTATTCGTCACTATTCATAATAGTGAACAGGTGGAAACAAACCAAATGTCCACCAATTGATGAATGGATAAACAAAATGTCACATCCATACAATGGAATATTATTCAGCAATAAAATGGAATGAAGCACTGATACATATATACATGCTACCACTTGAATGACCCTTGAAAGCATGCTGAGAGAAGCCAGACACAAGGGACCACATAGTCTATGGTTCCATTTCTGAAATGTCTAGAGTAGGCAAATCTATAGACAAAAAATCGATGATTAGTGGTTGCCTAAGGCTGGGGGAGAAATGGGAGGAAATGGGGGATAACTGCTTAATGGGTGCAGAGTTGTCTTTTTGGAGTGATGAAAATATTCTGGAATTAAATAGTGGTGATTGTTGATCGACTAAAAACCACTGGGTTATACACTTTTAAAGGGTAAATTATGGTATGTGAATTATAGCTCAATTTTCTAAAACAGCATACACACACACACACACACACACACACACACAGCATAAAGAGGAAAGAAATAGACCCTTAGGATTCTAGGGAGGTGAAATACCTGTATCTCAGGGGGAAAAGGAGGGGTGGGTGGGTCTTCTGGGGCCCCAAGAAAAGGAAGGGGTGACTTTCTGAGGTTCTAGAAGCAACAAATATTGTGTTTTGTTGGGAAGAAGGATCATTGGGGTTCAGGGAGGATGGAGGAGATCTTTGGGGTTCCCTGGCAGAGTATGATGGGACACTTTGGGTTTCCAGTGGAAAGAAGAGAAGTAGGTGGCTTCCAGTGTTCTAGATGAAGAGATTTTTGAGGTTCTAGAAGGAAGGGATACTTAGGATCCTGGGAGGACGGAGGGCTGATTCTGGGTTTAGGTGAGTAGAACAGGGTTCTGTGTAAGAGGGTGTGATGGGGACTTCATGATTCTATGGGAAGAGGAGGGAGGGTTGGGTCTTGACCCCTCTCCTCTCACTTACTTCCCCATCACTCCTTTCCCTTCAGGGACCGGTCCTGTACCATCCTCAATGTGGAAGGTGATGCTTTTGGGGCGGGACTCCTCCAACATTACGTGGATCGGACAGAGTCTCGGAGCTCGGTGCCTGAGTTGATCCAGGTGAAGAGCGAGGCACCCCTGTCTCCATTGTCCATCCCCACCGAGGAGGGGAATCCCCTCCTCAAATGCCATCCGGGGCCTGGTGGGGACGCTGACACCTGTGAGAAGGAATCAGTCATGTGAACCCTTGTAGGGACTTTCCCTGCCTTGATGGGGGCACTTTGGACATTGGGATCATGAGGGATGGATAAACGGACACACTGGGGCTCTGGGGGCCCTGCCCACAAACTTCAGGAAGTTAGGGGCCCCAGCCTTCCTCCCTGACACTAGATCTTGGAGGCCTCACTGCTGGGGTATATGTTTATGTGTGAGTGTGTCTCCCCAAATCTTCCCAGTCCTCAACTCCTGCCTCCATCCAAGGCTAGGAAACAGCAAGATGGTGAAATAGCATTTTCCACGCCTCATCCTGGGAGCCTGCCGGGCCTCCAGTCTCAGGGCACAGGGTACAGGTCACCACATGGAATTCTGCCATCTTTTGAGAGTAAGGATGTTCCAACATGTTGCTGGCTCCTTTGCTGGTTATTT